GCTCGACCGGGATTTGAAGTGGCCTTCAGAGTCCTGCTGGAGGCAATTTTAATGTGTCATCAAAGGCTTCGATTCCTGGCAATAGTAAGGGAATGGAAAGTAGTGACTGGTCTTATGAAGGGTGCTGACCTTCATCTCTTTCAGCACTCTTCCTTCATACTGCCACCAACTGTGTGGGAGTTTCTTGCTCCAGTTATGCTTTTTACTTATTTTAGTATGCTAGGATGTACTCTTGAGTTTTGTCTAAATATTACCAACTTTCTAATAATCACGGGATTATTTTAACTACGTTTGGCCCTGCCCCTTACAGTCATGAAGAAGAAATGGTGTATTTGCCTACGTGTATTAGTGGTCAAGGATTTGCATGGAGAAGGCCGGTATAGGCCAGCTGTGATGTTATTTCATATTTTTATCCATCTTCTACTGAACCACAACACTTGATTTCTCTCATGTCAAATATTTGTATGCTGCTGAGGAGGTAATAAGGAAGCATTGCTTTTTTAATTTTGTTTTTTTTTTTTTAAATGCAGGTTTACTGCATAAATCTTTTATCTAGGATTTCACTCTTCCTGTATGAAAACTCAGTGTAGGTTTGATAAGCATTTTATTGGTACAAGTGTAGGTTCAGAGAGCTTTTACACGTCACTTGTGTTCCACTTTTTCACTTGCAGTAATGCATTTCTTTGGGGGGGGGGGGGGTGCTGCACAGTGAACCTGACTGGGAAACTGATCCAGTTAAAAATAATCCTGTTTTATCCAGATATTAATAACTTGGATCAGTTCTGGCATCCAGTTGACTGTAGTACCCTACAAATGATAGTATTGGCAAAGATGAGGGGTACTGCTGGACAGGGGCTGTTACTAAATCTGCAGTGCTATGAAGCTGTGGCAAAAGCCTTCCTCTTCGTTTGTCAGCTGGAAGGCCCTGCCTGGAGGCTGACCATGGGCTCTTTGGCCTCTTTTTCTATTTTCTTTCTAGATGTGTTGCTGTTCTCTTGCAAACATAACTTCCTTGTATACTCTAGTATTTAGAAAATACAATTTTGGAGTTGATAACTGGGTCTCAACTTCTGGTGGCAGATTAAGGCCATTACTGGTGCAAATATCTTCACCCAGATACGGCAGCTATACATTTCTAGACTCAATCTGATACGGCAGTTTTAAAGTCTGAACGTGAGTAACTTGTTACACAGGATGGGTGTATTTTTCTGAGACTGTATTTTTAGGTTGAGTGTTACTACGGTGGTCTGATTCAGCCATCCTTCTGCTGGAGGCACTGGCTACGTGCTTGAAGATGGAGAAAAAGGCTTTATTGTGAATTTGGCCTGGAGAGCAGAGCACATGGATTGCTGTAGATGTGTTTCCATCTGCTGCTTCAGAGCGGCTATGAAGCAGTTATTGCGGTCAGTACGGCAGGTTTGTGAGATGGGTAGGATATTCCTTTCTTGATCGCCTAAAAGAAACAAGCCTAAAAAATCATCAACATATTTATTCATCTGTTATGTAAAATGGTACAAAAGATACATTGTTGTCTTCTGAGTTATCTATCAGTAAATTAATATTTTGTCAAATATAATTGAAATTTTGCTCATCATAAAATAGGGCATGTAAGTAGCAGAATACACGATATGAACTTGACAATCTTTTGAAATTGCATAAGCTTGTCAAATGGAAAGAGATATTTGAGCCATCTAGTGGTTGGTATGAAACATTTTAACACTTTCAACCGGTTGTAGAAAATGCAAATGACGCCAACTTGGAAAATGCCTTTCTAATTTGTATGCTTTTTAATAGCATAGCTGTAGAGTGAAAAAAAAAACAAACCCGGACATTCAATTTCAAATTTGAGGTAGTCTGTTCCAGTTTGCAGCTTTTTTTTTCAAGATGATGTAGGTTTTACTGAAGAAGGAGATCTGATAACATAAATATTATGTTTATATTTATATTAAGTTAATAGCCAAAGAATTTTAGCCTGACATCTTAGGAATTGTGAAGGTTTTGAGGAGCTTCAAGGAAAAGAGTGTAATAAGATAATTTTGTTTTCTACTTTATACTGAAATATATATATACATACTTGGAGGGGAAAAAAAGTTGGCTTGTAGGCTTGTATTCTCCCTTAGCAGCTATTTATAGTAGGATCTTGAATAACAAGGATTGAATAACAAGATATCATTACTGAAAAACATGGGGTAGATACTATTCATGATATACCTGTGTTCAAAAACAAGTAACAGAGGCAATTCAAAACAGGTTTCTTAAGGTGGGGTGCGTGACTTGGAGTGCCAGAATCTGAGATGTCAGGATAAAGGACGTTTTGTAGATGAAAATCCGTCTTGTAATGCAGCTTCATGATCCTGCTTGGTCCTGATAAGTGTTAAGCAGTTCTAGCTTTTCATATGGGCTGTTGCCAGTAAGAACTTGGCTACGTGTTGAGCTTGCATTACAGGCAGAAAAGTTAGTTGCTAAAGTAGTGAGCTTCACGTGCAACTCACCTTGTATTACTGGTGGGAAAGTACTGCATGCACAGAACCACTGTAATATCTCCCAGTCCTCATGAAAGCCCCATCCAGCTTCAAGCCCAGATTAAAAGATGTTTTTTAATCATTTAGACAAATCTAATGAATAATCAACAAGCAGTACTAATGGTGTTACGTGCAGTTAGAGCTGTAGTGTTTCAAAACAGATGAATTCAGTCCATACTGACACTTCATAATTTACATCTTTACATTCTCATTTAAGTGTTACAAAGTCTTAAATCTTGCCCTGTTTTTTTTATTGAGAAGACAGCGCTATCTTAACATGTTCTTAAGGTCAGTCCCAAGTGCATTGCAAAGCTGAAGGAGAATGAGAAAAATTAGAAAGCCAGCCACAAAACAAAGGATGGAGCTCTAATAGCAGACTTGTATTTTACTGCAATGGGGGCAATCTGGAAGCTTCATGTAAATTTGGTATGCTAATTACACTTGGACAAATCTAGCCTGCATTTTGGACTTGTCCAGTGTCTTGATTGTTGAGTATTATTAACCCTTAGGACCAAAATAACAGCTAGATTAATCTTCTGAATATTCCAGTTTTGTCTGTGAATCTTAATAGGTATCAGAAGAGGAATTAAACTCTTAAAGAGATTTTAGTTGTCTGGTATATTTTTGCCTGCATTTTGCAGTGCGGTGATGAAGGATTTTTTTATTATTAGTCTCTATGGTGATCTAGTCTTGAATCGCAGTTGTTGAATCTCCGAGGTAACATTGAACAACTTTGTTCACTTCTCTTCTCTAAATAAGCGTGGCCAGAACAGAGTAAAGGCAGCTAGGTTAGGTGTATGCGGTATTTTGCAGGCTTCCATTTTGCACATGTGAAAATCCCTCTCCATTGTTGTCTTACTTCTTCATGGAAAATACCGTAGTCCAAGGCATTATGTGTGTTCAGTTTTTGAGCTTGTCTTCATTCTTAGTCTGCTGTTGCCAGAACAGATTTGACTAACAGCAACTACATGGGGTACAGAGTTGAAGATCTTGTATCTTTATGATGTCCATGTTGCGGTTTTGTTCACTTGAACAGGAATGTGATTTTATGGTAGTATTACGACTGTCATCCTTTTATTGTCTATGTACTACTCTTTCCACTCCCTTTGTACAGTGCTCTGATTGTCATAGTAGCTGGTCATACCACAGCGTTTTCTTGGAACCTGTCCATTGCTAAAGCTATGATCCAACTGTATTCATGAAGGGATCTTTGGCATTTCCCCTGTTTTTAATTTGCATTTAAAAGATGCAAATGAGGTATAATGAAATTGTAATACTAGGTTCTGTTTCTGATGAGTGCTTGCTCTTCAAATTCTGTTCTGGTTACCAATTGCTTTCTAGGAGAAATTTGCTTACATCTTACATATTTCAGTTGGGTTTAAGGCATATCTAGGATTTCCTTTGTCAGGCTCCATAGAAATGAGAGTTGTTGAAGAAGTGAATGCAAGTGGAATAGGGATTATCTTGAAGAAGAATCTTTGAGAATGCAAACGCCATCTCTGGTTCATGTATCAGAGCTCTGTTTCCTTTGGGATGTATTCACGGTCTCTCGAAAACAGTGTTACACACATGAAAAAACTAAAATTGTGTTGTAGGCAGCATATACGTGTTTTCTTCTGTAAATAACGGAATAGCTGCTAAACAGAGAACAATTTTACTGTGGCATAACATTTGTCAAAAGAAAAAGTTGGTTAATTTTTATATAATTTAGGAAATATGTAATATTTATTTGGAAAATTGGGTAGTTAATCATTCATTAAACCCCCTGGTAATGTCACTTGGGAAGCAACGCTTTCCTTTGTGAAAAGAAAATGGGGGGAAGAGGAGTTGTCAGTAGGAAAATGGTAATTTTTTTTCCTTTTACTGCAAAACAGGGTAATCGAAGATAGAAATTAGATTAATGATGAAGAAATCTGATTGTCTTAGGTTTGAAGCTTGATGGCCTGTATTTTTAGTATTCAGAAAAATTACAGTTTCCTTAAGCATATTTTCAGATTCATATAATTAATGTTCTACTTTAGACGCTGAAATCAGTGTGCGTAGCTTTGTTTACTTTTATGTGAATATAAATTATTATAACTATGACATGGTCTTAGGTTATAAAACATTTTTATTGTATTAAATTGCCAAAGACTGTTGTTTGCTTTCCTGCTATTGTACAAATGGAACAAAGCACATCAGTGTCTCTGATGTGAAAGTACTTGAATATTATGGTAGTTACTATTCCTCAAAAAATACGTTTCTGCATTTAAATTCAGAATTTAGTACTAAATTTTACAAAGAATTGCATTTAAAAAAAAAATCTCTAGCTATCTTCTTATTCCTTCTTTTTCATTCCTCCTGTTCAAGGTGAAATTAAAATATCCCTATCTTACAATGGAAATTGAATGTTGAACAATGAACAAAATAGTTGCAACTCAGTGGTATAGATTATGGTTGGTTTATCTGGTTTTAAACATTGCTTCTTTTCTTTTACAGAATGCTGCCTTTTTATATGGCCTTGGTTTGGTCTACTTCCATTACAATGCCTTTCAATGGTAAGTGGGAATAAAACAACAGTATCAGTGTATTTTGCAGTGTTCATTGGTAGCTGAATATTTCAACTTTAATGTTATTGTACAATAGTTTAAATTTTGTGGCATAAATATGATATTTGAAGATATATTGCCCTGTATCTCATATCTGACTTACTTGTGGCAGCTGCAGCAGTTGCTTGAATAGGAAAGCAATTAGAGAGAGAGAGTTTTAGCTTCCTATAATGCAATTCAGCGAGGGGAATGGAGCGGTATGACTCAACAGGTTTTTGTGAATTCTCAGTGTCTAAGGTCTGCAGCATATGTTGTGAAGAAATTTTCTGTTTCTCTGGGAAAAGAAGTGGCAAAGTAGGTTTGTTTTCATTTAGCTTGTTATTCAGTAATTTTTCCATAAGTGTATACAGTGACAGGTTTTGGACGTGAGCAGCAGTACACTTTGTCCTGAATGTTTAAAACTGTCATAAAAACTCAGTTATAAAGAGCTGTAAATTCTGGCAGGGTTTTGGGGGTGGGAAGGGCTTGCTTTTGTGTTGGGGGCAGGGAAAGGCTTGGTTTGATGGTTTTGTGGGTGATTTTGTTTTGGTTTTGCGTCACTGGAGTTGAGAGAAGAATGAGAAATTGAATAGACTTGATAAATGGGGTTCTCTTGACAGATCCCCAAACTTTCCTGGTCAGTAATAAGAAAGGTATGGTTTATTCTTACGCTCGTTGTTATCATCGGAATAAAGTCAAATAAATGCAGTGTTTAGATCAGAGCTTTTTTCATAAAATTGATTAGTTTACCTTTTTTTTTTTTTTTTTTTTCCTCTCTTCCGTGCTCATTTCTTTGTGGTATATATTTCTCTAGTAACACTTAGTACAGAAGCTCATAATAAAATTAATGTAATTTTACTATTTAGTTGATCACACAAAAATCTATCATCTTGTTGGACTAAGCATGCCTGAAGTTAAGGAAGTAGTCAGTGACTACTGACTGATAGCTTGGAACAACAAAATGAGATTTCTGCCCACCTCCTACTCCCACCCCCCCAAATAAATATATCAAAAGTTTCTGCGTATCTGTAAGACAAAAGATTCATGCTTTCCTCAGGCAGGAAGTCAGCTTTTATTTTTGAAATTAACATAAGTTGGTTAAATCATGATCTCAGAACCTTGATTTTTTTTTTTCCCTCTTAAAACTCAAATGCTTTCTTTATTAATAGTGGTGCAATGCATGCCATGTGTTGTGCATGACGTGCAATTACATTCCATTCTAACATGAGAGAAGAGCAAAAAAGTTTTCAGAAAAACGAGAATCTTTTAAGATTGTGATCTTCTTTCTTCAATTTTGCTGAGTTTCAGAATGTTCTTGTTCTGATGCAAGCTTTGCTTCATCATTTTAACGTGTTAACAGTTTGCATTGTGAAAATGATGGAAAATGAGTCAAATTACACCAAAAGTTAAATTCAGAGTAGTAACTTATTGAGAGGTCACCTTCTCAATGTAGACTGTTGCCATTAGTGGATCAGTTTGTTTGGCATTGTTCAGTGGAGGGAGCGACAAAGTCAGGTCATTGTGAGGCCTAAGTATTGCTAGTTTGCTGCCTTGAATTAATTCAGATTTTTCCTACGTTCTTTTGAGTAACCTTGTTGAGAACATGAGTATATATTGATGTCTTAAGTTATGATGTCTTAACTGCATATAGAGCTGTTTGTTAATGTAGTTTAAAACGATCAAATCTGTCTCTTCATTCCTACTACAAAGGTATATGTAGTGTGGTACTAAAGAAGTTGTGTATATGAGAATATTGGGTAGAACTTATAAGGGGAAAAAAGTCTAATGCAGATAAAATCTTACACTTCTGTATGTATTTTTTTTATTCCACTTGAGTGTTTCTTCCCTTACTATGTTTTGGGGACAGGAGTGGGTTGTGTCGTCGTGAGTATTTAGGTGAGACAAAATCATAATCAGCCTGGAGCTGATTGCAAGTCGCTTGCAGTAGGGATGTTCTTTGTACACTTGGTCTTCCACAAGTCTCCACTGCAGATTGCAAGGAGAATCTTCGTTCTTTCAGAGTGAAACACTAGACAAACAGTCTTGTTTTCTGCTAAAGTTGTTCCATCTATTTACATTCGTAAAGTACATAAATCTGTGTATTTCATACAGGTAAAAGAGACTTCAAGATTGTTTAAGGCTGTTTAACTTACTGTGCTTCATTCATGAATATTTTATTTCATTCATACAACTTTAGATAGTCATAGATTTTAAGGAGAGGCATGTACATAGTCTTCCCAGAAGGAAGGGTTAATGAATCATCTGTCATACAAATAGGGACAATATACGAGCAAGTGAGAATAAGGTCAGTTTTAAAATTGTTGTTCATACTTTCACATTATTTTTTGATTTTTTCAGTATTCATAAAAAGAAGTGTTGGACTGACTCCAAGACACATGCAATTCTCTGTATTCAATATTGCACGCTTCTGTACATGCTAAAGAAGCGTTACAGTGTTAAGTGCTAAATCTTATCTGACACATCATTTTATATTGGTTGTTTTGTTTGACAATTTATGTAAGAACCGAAAGTACTTATATACGTGTAAGTATATGTAAATATTGTGATAGCGTGATCAAAGATCTTTTATGCAATTTTTTAGTAAGATATGACATAAGGGATTAGCTCCAAAGAAAGTTGTATAGATCTTAGATTTTGATACTCCTTCTACACCATTTGTCATCAAGTTGTGAGAAAAGTAGATGGCTGGTTTTCCCTGTTTCTCAAGTAGAGCAAAACACCAGAATAGAGATAGCTGAGATACTGTCATAACTTGAGTAATTTCATGTCCTCCTTAGTTGTCTTCTAGATGGAACAATGAAAAATTTGTAGTTGTTCATCAAAGACTATCCTTAAACGTGGTGCAGTAGTTACAGTCCTTGTAGAGGCTTGAATGCCAAATTTGCTCTTGTACTTCACTAAGGATTCTGAACCTGCCTGGTGTATGATCTGCTGATTTGAGTTAGGGAAATCTGTCATCTCTGACAGGAGTTGTGGCCTCTCTGCAGCCATCCTTATCAAAGCAAAAGCAATGAGGTCATCTGTGTGATACCATATCATAACTAGATCATCAGCTGAACCACCATCTCTGCTTCTGGCTCTTAAAAAGTATCCTCACACTTTTGTAAGGCAAGGTGTCCTGTATGTTGGCATTTCTCCCATTAGCTTAAGTTTGACTCATTGGAAATGGGGTAGGAGCTCAGCGCAAAAAAAAATTGCCTCTGCAGCTCGGATTCAGAATTGAATGTTGAGGTGAAGAAGTCAGCTGCAGTCCCCTACACCTTTCATTATTATTATCTAATTCAAGTGAAGACATTCAATGGGCAAGAGGCAGCAAGGATTCAAAACCCCTACAGGGAGAAGGTAGCACCTCCATCTTTACATCTCCAAATTTACAGTGGAATGTAAATTTTTTTTTCAGTACTTTCATGGGCCAGCCTTCAGTCTTGCATTCATGATCATCTAACCAAGAAAGTGTTGTTTTATGGTGGTCACTGCCCATCTGTGACACAGGGAGAGTCCTGTCCTGTGCTGCTAAGGTGCCTTCTAGGCCCTTCTAGTTCCCCACATGCAGTCTCTGCTCTGCCTGCCTCCAGGTATAGCAGTACTTGGTGCCATCATGGAAGGCATGGCATTTGATGAAATACTCCAGTGGCTGCAGTTTGCCTGAGAAGCACTGAGGTTCACCTAATTAACAGTGACATTGCCCTGGTAATTTGCAGCCTGCGGAGTTCCTGCTTTGGAAACACCTGCTACAGGGAAGTCCATGACGGACGTCATTTGAGAGCAGAAAAACAGCTTGCCTGCCAATAACCTGTGATCGTCAACATACACATGTAGATTTATTTTCCTCTTCTATCAGAGTCCTCTTAGATGGTCAGGCGTTTTTAGTCTGTAGTTAAATTAATAAGGAGAGCAGAGTTTAAACAAGCGCTGTGTAGATACTGCATTGTCAAATAGCTCCTAGTTTCCAGGTGGCTGGGTCTACGTATCTATTTTTATATACGTAAAATGGGAATGCACATGTAGACTACAAATACTAGTGGTAGTTAACCATGAGCAAAGTAGTAATTGATTTGTCTTTTGGTCTCTTTTTGTCATTGTCTATTGAACCTGTTTCTTGGACTGATGAAAAAAGCATAGTATCTGTTGGTAACAGGAAAATAAAAGGGTAGTCTCAGCTGCTGCTATGGAGAAAGGTTTGGAGCCTGCTGCTCAAAGTGTTTCAGCATTCAACTGTTACGGCACAATGGGCAGAGGAGTTACTGTATCTAAAGACTGTTAAAGTATTTCATGCAAATGCAGTAATGACTATTTCTGTATACATAAATTTTGTTCCTGTTCAAACTGTGCCGATGAGTTTCAAATAGGAATTTGTCCATCACATCCTCGTGGCATTTTCATTAGTTATGCTTGGAGCAAGTGGTCAGAAAATTGGAAGAGAATAAAGAACAATAAAAAGAAAGTTTTACTCCAGCTGCACCAAGTAGTTTTCCCGACATGTTAGAATGTTATGTTCTTTTCTTTTGTAGGCTTTTTATGATTTTAATGTATTTTGTTAGAAACTCATGAGTGCTAACTTTTGAATAGTTAAATTGATGCTGTTTTATAATATACTTTTGTCCAGTTCAAATGGGTTTATATTCACAGTCTGTACAAGTAAAACCTTCCAATACGTCTTATGAGAGTTCACTAAATGTTTAATAGAATATTCTATTAATTATTATTCAGCCTGCTTTTTATTATTCAGCCTACCATAATGGTAGGCTTTGTTGTATAGATGAGTGGGTGGAAAGATAGCTGTAGTATTGATTTTGAAAGTCTAGATTTGGAGATGATAGATTCGTGTCACTTTTATGTTTTCTCAATTATTGTAGCAGTGCTGTACAAACGTAAGCCCAGAGGTGCACTTCATCCTCTGCAGTCTGTTTTCCAGTCCTGCTTTCCCATTTTGTGTAGTGTTAGCTAGCCAGCCTTTCCTGCCTGTTAATGGATACCTTCCCATTCTTGTTGAAGACTCTAATTTAATTTAAATAAATTCTAGTAGACTTAACCAAAGTTTTTTTCTTGCCAGGCAGTTGATCAATATCCTTTAGAGAACAAACCTGAAGTTGTCTCTTGCTGAATTTAGACTACTGTCATTTATTTCTACAGTATGAGAGCTCCCAGCTGTTCATTTCTGTGATTTATCCTTTGGGCTAATGTATGTTTAGTCTGCTAAAGGATTAAAATGAAAAGCTGTGTCTGTGCATGAAGGCCAGTTAATTAGCGGTGGAGGCTAACAACCTATTTGAGCAAGGCTGTGTGCCATCATCTCATCTTCTACTACTACGCTTGCTCCTACTTTCCACATACTCTCACATCCTCTTCCTTCCCTGTTGCACCAACGTGTACCCATTGCCTTCAGATGTCACTGAGCACTTAGAACTGGGATGTATGGCAGTGACATTGCAGATGTTTTACTATTGATATATTAAACGGGCCGAGTCCAGAGCTCTGAGCATAGCACAGAGGCAAAGGAAGCCCCAAAACAGAACCAGAGGTACCCCTGTGGTCCCTGTTCTTGACATCTCCTATGATCATGGGTTCACTTCTCTTTGCTTAAATGTTTCTAGTAGGCGAAATTAGATCACTATTAATTCATCAGTAGTGTAGAATTGCTTGTCTTTAAGAGTTAATATAATTAAGTCAGAGTTCGTATACAAATAATTACTGTAATAATGTTAATAGGAAAATGTCTTCTCACTTCTGAGTGTTTTATTCTATGAAAATTTTACTAGTTAAGGCCATTGTTGTCAAATTAGACCTGAGCACCCACCACTGGTAGAAATTGTTAAAAATGTTGCCTTTCAGATCACTTTATTTGTGAAATTTTGAGGATTCCATTTTTTTTGTAGAAATAATGGAAGCAATTTGTATTTGTTACTGGTGGTAATCATCTTGGAAAAGCTACAAATTACATGATTGATACGCAATGAACACCAGAATTAAATAATGCAAATAAATAATATTTTGAAAGAAAAAGAAAATACAACTTAATACCCTGATTTTTAGTTAGAAAAACTACTTTGGGGATATTTGCCATATTCTTTTAACGTTTTTGCCTGAATTTACCGAAGTAATTGTGCTTAATTATAAATGTGTTACTTACTGGAATTCTCTTCTAGTTTTTATTATGGCATTCAGGGATACAGAGGTTTTTTTCAAGATGCAAGCAAGACACTGTCACAGGAGTTCACTAGCATTTTAAGTATGATTCATGCTTAAAAGTAAATCCATCAAGTACTATAAACTGCAAGAACATTTCTAAATAGAGTCTTTCACCAATTGCTATGAGTCTGTCCATCCATTCCATTGCAAAGCATCTCTGCATTTTCCTCCCCAAACCATCAGTTTAGGAGTGATCAAGTACAGCTGAAATTCACAGCTAGAACACCGCTATCTGACGGTTAGCATGGTAACTCAAATAACATCTTAAAGGTTGTAGAGATTTTCATTGTATTTGGGTAAGTTTATCCAAATGTCCGTCAAAGTAGGTTCAGAAAGGTGCCATTGCTTCTTGCACTGATCATAGTTAAGGGAGCAATGTCTTACTCTGTTCATTTTCTTCCTCCTTCTGCGTGTTGGGCTTGGCTTGATTACAAATTTTGTCGGGTTGTAAGGTTATTGCAAATACTTATAATTACTACTGATGTTGAACCTGATGCCATAAGCATCTTAGACGAAGGTGAACGCTGTTGCCTGTGCAGAGGTAATTACACCTTGCAAACCTCAGGGGCTGTCCGTGACTAGCAGGTTCAAGTGCTAAATGTGATACAGTCATCTTACTGTCTGCTGGTTGCAACTTCACTTTGTGTCGAGTGCACCACTCCTCTGAAAGATGGGGTAGGCGAGATTCTTTGAACAGGACACAAATAATGGGTTTTAAAATGCCAGTGCCCAACATACTGCGTACTGTGTTAGAGTTAAGATAAGAAATGCAGGTATACAATGATAAAATCTGTACTTCTGTGTGTAACCAAAGCATCACTTAAAATGGCAGAAGAATCTACAAGCATTTGTAAGCCAAAATTTGGTGATCACTACACTGTTTGAAGGGTTTTCTTATAGACGATGGTGGGCATGCTGTTTCGGGACACAGCACCTTGTTAGTTCCAGTTGCGGTGTATTTCACCACCACCCATGATATTCTTGGAAAGTTTAAAGAACATGTGAGAGGATGCTTAGCTTGTGCAAGTTGAGTCCCTTTTGTGCTTTACTTGCTTGCGTGCGCAGGAAAGTAGGGTACAAGGAGAGGAAAACCTTCTGAAGGACTGTAAGCTTCAGTTCCACAGTGAAAATGTAGGTTTTTCCTAATTATTATTATTTTTTTTCAATTTAAACTGTTCTTAAGCTGTATTTAAACAGTCATATAATGCTTTAGGCACCAACGTTTTTGTTGTGGAGGAAGGAAGGTGGATATTCCAGAGGAAGATACATGCCATCAGTATGTTTTGACATCAGGAAAGAGAAGAGCCCGTAAGATTTTTAGATCTGATGATGAATTCAAGAACAATCATTTGTATGTTTTATGAATGAAGCCTGTGCAAAATATTTCTTGCATTTCCCTTTGCAACTTCTGTCTGTATGGATGACATGGACGCCTGGAGTATCACAGAATCACAGAATCTCTAGGTTGGAAGAGACCTCAAGATCATCGAGTCCAACCTCTAACCTAACACTAACAGTACCCACTAAACCATATCCCTAAGCTCTACATCTAAACGTCTTTTGAAGACTTCCAGGGATGGTGACTCCACCACCTCCCTGGGCAGCCCGTTCCAGTGCCTAACAACCCTTTCAGTAAAGAAATTCTTCCTAACATCTAACCTAAAACTCCCCTGGCGTAACTTTAGCCCATTCCCCCTCGTCCTGTCACCAGGCACATGGGAAAACAGGCCAACCCCCACCTCGCTACAGTCTCCTTTAATGAACTTATACAGAGCAATAAGGTCACCCCTGAGCCTCCTCTTCTCTAGGCTGAACAGGCCCAGCTCCTTCAGCCGCTCCTCATAGGACTTGCTCTCCAGGCCCCTCACCAGCTTTGTTGCCCTTCTTTGGACCCGCTCAGGCACCTCAATGTCCTTCTTGTAGCGAGGGGCCCAAAACTGAACACAGTACTCGAGGTGCGGCCTCACCAGAGCTGAGTACAGGGGGACGATCACCTCCCTAGCCCTGCTGGTCACACTGTTTCTGATACACGCCAGGATGCCGTTGGCCTTCTTGGCCACCTGAGCACACTGCTGGCTCATATTCAGCCGACTGTCCACCATCACTCCCAGGTCCTTCTCTGCCTGGCAGCTCTCCAACCATTCCTCTCCCAGCCTGTAGCTCTGCTTGGGGTTATTGCGCCCCAGGTGCAGGACCCGGCACTTGGCCTTGTTGAACTTCACGCAGTTGACCTCAGCCCATCGGTGCAGCCTATCCAGATCCTCCTGCAGAGCCTTCCTACCCTCGAGCAGATCGACACACGCACCTAGCTTGGTGTCATCTGCAAACTTACTGAGGGTGCACTCAATGCCGTCATCCAGATCATTGATGAAGATGTTAAAGAGGACCGGCCCCAGCACCGAGCCCTGGGGGACGCCACTAGTGACTGGCCTCCAACTGGACTTGGCTCCATTTACCACAACTCTTTGGGCCCGGCTATCCAGCCAGTTTCTAACCCAACGAAGCGTGCGCCAGTCCAAGCCAAGAGCAGCCAGTTTCTTGAGGAGAATGCTGAGTAGGAGTGAGCTTCAAACGTGGTGTGATTTGGGGGCACTGTGGGGTGTCCTGCCCAGCATCCCTGTGCTGTCCCACAGTGGGTAGAGGTGTCCCTATGGCCTTGCCTGTCACCTGCGTGCTCTGTGCCACCCTGGGGCCCTGGAGGCAAGACCGTGGCACTTGGGTCCTTGAGTGACTGGGAAGAAAGGGAAGTAACAGCTGTTAGCTGAGTCCCTGGACAGCCTCCCTGCTAAGACAGGGAGTAACAAAGTTGAAAGTGGAGCAAGTCGGGGCAGTGAGGTGTGTGAAATCTTCTAGGCCTCCTGTTCTGCCCACCCTCTCAGGACTCTGTGCTAGCTCGGATCAAAAGCAGCCTGGCAGCTGGTTGTGACAGGACTGACCGCTGCGTACACCGTTGTTCTCCAGTCGCGTTAATTTTGTTGCTTATTCCTGAATCGTCCTTTCTGAAATAGCAGACGTGTTGCTGTGTTTCAGGCAGCAAGTTAGTTTCTCCAAATGAACAGAGAAGATTATACTTTCAAATCAATTAGGATATCTGGAGTACGAAATGACCCAGTCTTTGAAGAACCAAAAATGATGCAGCAAAAACGTTTAGTCCATTATATTGATATGTTCTTCAGTAACAGTACTTTCTGATTTACTTTCTATTAGTCATACAAATAACTATTATAACAGTAATATTTCAGTAAAAAATAATACTTTTTATCTGTTTGTCTTTTAGGGCAATTAAAGCATTTCAGGAGGCGCTTTATGTTGATCCCAGCTTTTGTCGAGCCAAGGAAATTCATTTGCGACTTGGACTTATGTTCAAAGTGAACACAGACTATGAGTCCAGTTTAAAGGTAGGTTTAAGTCCTTTCAGATTGAATTTAATATTTGTTATAAGTTGTGTTGCATCTAAAAACTGAAAGGAATGCACAAACATATAGCTGTTATATGCTGCACTATTTCATAAAAATCATTGAAAATAGAAAGCTTTTATGCAAAATATTGTTCTCATATCAATTTTTTATATTGTTTGTACCCTTCTAACAGTGTGAATTAAAGACGGTAAATGAGTCCCTTGCAAGGAGGACTCTGTGAGAGGGAAAAGGTGTGCAAAAATTGGGGCTGCTGTGCCATATGGCCAAGTATGGTGTGCCCATGGCCATGAGATGTGATGGGGAGCATGGAAAGGCATGTTGGTTGATTTTTTTTCTTTTATTTCGTGATTTGAGAGTCAGCTTGTAAGGCAGCAGTTTCTGACTAATCACTTAGAAATGCTTTGTGTTAATATAGTACATTGTTTCTTCTCTACTCTTTTTTTTTTTTAATTTCATTTTACTGCTTGTATTCTTTTTTTTGGTCACTGACTGTAATCTGTAACTTTTATCTCCTGCCATTCAACATTTTTGCTCTTTTTTTTCCCCCTACTTCCGTTTCCCACTTTTATCCCCTTGCTTTTTTCCATCACAGAACCTAAATTTAGGTATACATGTCTTGGAAAAAGGACATTTTATTTTAAAGGAGTTTCACGTTATACTGGGAATTACACCTGCATTGTTGAGAATTTGTCATTTGTAATTAGCTGTAATATATAAATATATTTCCGCATATTAATCTCCTCTAAAACCTATAAAAAACATTATTTTTTTTGTTTGTTTCCAAGAGTCTTGTAGAATGGCTTCCTTTTCCTGGCAGATTGTTTTCCTGCAGCTTGTATTTGTGAGGCTATCAGAAACACATTGTCAACGATTTGAAAGAGTGGAGTGTTACTCTCACATTTTCCTTTTGCTCTTTGTAATAACGGGAAGCACTTCTCTCATCAGGCTTTTCCTCTTTCATCCAGAGTCCAAGCTTTCACCAACAGAGACAGATGAAGTTGGGAGTTGTAAATAGAGAGGTTGATGTTGCACAGGAATATGAAAGATTCACTGCAGTGAATGGCAAAAGAAGTCAAAGGGGGGGGGGGGTATAAGTTGGCCATTGTATGGGGAGTGGGATTATGTATGAGTTTGGATGGTCATATATCCCTACACTTTGGCATGAATTTTGCATTGACTATTTTGATAAATAGGGAATAAAAGGAAAAAGTGCTGAAAAGTGTATTTTGTTTTTGTTTTTAAAGACATATTATAGGGACAAAATAGAAGAGTAAATCAGCAAGGAGGTAGTTAACTTTTAATGAAGTAGTGGAAGGAGATTCTGCATTTTAATTTTTAACAGAAGAAAATGATCAATTAGACAACCACTTCCTGCTGTACCATAAAGTATATAATTTTATCACTGAATCGAGTATTCAAATAGATATGATGAGAATTCATTCTAAATGTTCTACTGTGATTTTAACCACTTTTCAAAATAAAAGTTGGTCGATGATTAGGATTTTAAGTATAGCAAACCTTTAGTTTTCATTACATCAACCAGGATGGGGAGAAAAACACCAAAGAACTGTTTTAAAAATAGGAAAGGAATTAACTTTTTGCAATGCAAAATGACCATGATCCCATTGTTTTTATGTGCAGTGTGATTAAATCACTTAGGAAAACAAATAGACACAACAAAAACAGCTTACCCTGAAGCAGAGCGAAGGTCTTCAAGGGGATTAAGAAATAAACACGAGGGTGGATTTGCACTGAGGATAGTTTCCTTAAGTCAATAAGGCTGCAGGCTGTTGCTAAAAGGATGTCTCATTTTCCACCTCCCTGACTGATTGCATTGCTCTGCACCTTCTGCTGCTCTGAGCCCAGTGTCTTTCCATGTGCAACCTGAGGTGGATCAGAGTCTGAACCACCTCGACTTGGGGTTGCACAGTTACTGGGGCTCTGGTAGATGGGAGGAGGTGGGAATGGCAGGGGGTAGGGAGAGCTGCATGCATAACTTCTGATGCACAAACACACAAAACTGTACTCTGGAATTACCAACTGAAGCCACCTAAGCTTGAGTTTCTGTTTTTTTTTTTTTCCTTGGCTGTGAAAATTGTTATCTTTAGCAGGGAATCGATAACAAACAGTGAGGAGCAAGAAAGAAAGGACCCAGTGGGGCAATCTAGTCGGTCTTGAACAGTTTCTGCTGATTTCAGTTTAGTTGAGCTGTGGATTTAATCTAGTGTCCTGAGATGGATTCTTTTTGTTGTAGACTGAAACAGATCAATGTGTACATCAGAATATATAAATGGAGGAGGAGAATAGGTGGAGTAAACAGGACAGTAGCTCCTTGAAAAGCCAGTCAGGCTGATCCCTGAGTTAAGATTTAAGCCAGAGCTTTGTGAGTAGCAAGTCAGAAAATACTTCCTTAGTGAAGAGAACAAAATGAAGTGGCAGTGGTTATGCGCAAGCATGAGGAGAATAAAATCAGAAAGAGTTGATGAAAGAGTGCGAAAGGATGTTTTCACAGAATGTCTGCCTCCTTCTCCGAGACTGAGTGTCTCGTCTTTTCACAACACAAAAGATGAGTAACCCAAAGTAATGAAACAACACAGTTGGCTTTTTTTTTTTCTTTTTTTTTGGGGTAGCTGTTGCTGAAAGGATTCAGGATTTCAGAAGGGTGGCTCTGGTTTTTAGGGTCTAGGCTGCTAGGGACTTGCCTTGAACACAGGCCATTTCCTGGGGCTGTAGAGGTCTAACAGAATCCACGGTCAGGTTTGAGCTTCCTGTACAATACAGAGGCAGAAAGTAGAGAAGTTTTCATCTGGTATTCTTCTGTGACGGTTCTGAATTTCACAAATTGTACCAACGTTGCGTTAATGTACTTTGAAATATCATAATATTTTTGATGGTATTTAAACATTCATGCTAAGTCTGTAATTGCTAAGAATAAACCACTGCCAACAGATGAGTCATTGTCAGTAAGAGTCTCCAGGCAAAGGGGGAAGGATGGGAGTCTGAAGGTCATATACTCCATGTTTTTCACAATTTTAGGCCATTAACATAAATCATCTATATTTTATGTAAGCAATTTAAGCACAAAATTAATTTTTACTATTTTAAGATGTTGATGATCAAGATAATTACTAGAGTGCTGTTTAACAAGCATAAAATCAACTCTCAGTGTTTTTTTTTCAAAAATCAATTACTGCTTTTGCATGTTTTTAATATTGCTGCAGTTAAGACTTGCAAATTACTCTGAGAACCCTTGACTGCTGTGTTACCCCATTGCCATAAACTTTGGCAAGAACACTGGGGCTGTTGGAAATGACTTGGTCTTTAGGATTACATTAAGGGAAAAAAAAGCTGCCCTTCTGGCTGAACGGAAAGTAGTCTTTGTATAACCTCACAGAGCAGTAGGACAGTGTTACCTTCAGAAGTGATACGTGAATGCTGAATTTGCCTCATTCAACAGAAAAATAGAATCAATTCCAAATTCAACTGCTGTTGTCTTGTGGGCGTAGGGAGGCAGGAGAGATTTTAATATTGATGACTGTAGCAGAAGCATACAGTTAAGGTTTATCTCACATTCCTAACCTTTTCACGCTTTTCTGCATGTCCCAGCCCACCAGGAGTACTGTTTTCGACTGTCTTAGCTGCAGTGGTGCCATGGTAAGCTGAAAAGAGAAGAAAGCAATATAGTATACCTCTTTATTAATACGGTTAGTGTAGTTGGAAAAAGCGTTTGAGCTTCTGAGCACACGCCGTGTTATTTCTGGCATGTCACCTGCTTTTCTCCTAGTCTTCCTCTTCATTCAATATATTCTTTTAATTTTAGCCTTCTTTTTCATAACGGTATGTACTCATCTTGTCTTACGTGTGTCTCAGTTCTTCCCCTGAGTACTTTTTGAATCTTAACCAATTTCTAGCCAATATGCTTGAATGAAAAGGTTTCAAAGAGAAGTTTCTGGAACATGCCTGTGGAACATGTTGCCCCAGAACCATTTGTCTGAGCTCTGCAAGCTAAGGATGAGGTGAGCTGGTTGGCATCGTCAGCAGAAGAGGCACCTTATGTGGCTGGGTATGGGACTGGTGTGTCAGGATGCAGAAAATAAAGCTGTCCCATCCACGCTTTGCGTCAGGAAGCCTGATGCTTCTTGGCTAGCTGGCAAGCTGAACACAGAGGTGGGTAGAGCACACAGGTGTAGCTAGGTATGTTCTGTGGGACTACTGACCGCATAAAAGAGAGCTGAGGAAAAAAAGTTGTCATCTTATTTAGTTGAATAGTTGGGTTACATTGGAAACTGCAGCTATGAGAAACCAGTCATCCATCTGGTGCTCGTTCTGTTCTGCTGTGTTGAAGTATCATAGTGTGCTTTTGGTGGGGAGTTACAATGACAATCCCGAAAGACTTTTGACTGTAAAATTCAGTTCATTTCCTTTGTTTGCCGACAGACTACTTCAGGAAAAAAAAATGTTGGTTTTTTTTTTTTTTTTTTTTTTTTTTGGTATTTATTAGAATTATGCCATTGAGGGAATGGTAAGTTCTAGGGAGGGCTTCTGTGGTTCTGGTTTTCTGCGTTTTGTTTTCTAATGGGTGGTCAGGAGGGACTCTGAACATGATCAGGTTATTTACAAATGAAAGTATATTGTGAAGATTTTTACATTTTTATATATTTATATGTATATATATATTTTAAAACATATTGCAGGTGCATCCTGTGCCCGGTGACAAAACCCACAAAATAATGAGAATTAAATTTTTCATGTTCTCAAATATCTGCCTTTTAGTAGAAATGCGGATCCTGTCTATCACTCTGGAGAAATTTTGCCTCCCTATTTATGGATAAAACAGCTATTCTGGTATTCTGCTGCAGGCTGATTCTTTGGTCGTGCCCGTAAACGATCAATTCAAATAGATTTTTTGTATATATAATTATTTCCTAAAGATTCGTATTTGTTAGCAAGTTAGAGACATACTGCATATATTAGGTAAGGAAAAGGCTGCTAAAGAATTAGAATTTATTGGGAAGTATGCATGAATTACATTGAATATGCATGAAATATTAAAAAAATTGAGACAGATGAACAGCTCAAAGAACCTATTTATACTCAGTACCTATTTATACCATCACTTTATTAATCTTCATGTCTATATATATCTTTAAAAAGATCTTTAGCTATTGGGAGGTATTTCATGTCAACAAGTAGCTGTTACAGACATATTGTTATGTCTTTTTCTCAATAATAAATGAAAGTTTATTTATGAAAGTGAAAACTTGTTTCAAAGCCTTCAAGTGCTATTTTACAGCCTTATTTTTCACATACGCCTAGATTAACCATTTTTTTTTAGCTCACGCATGTTAATTTGAAGCTGTATGTATTCACTTTCAATTATTAAAGAAAAATGAAACACTCAAAATCCATATAGATAAGAAAAGTTTAAGTTTCTGAGGTCTACTTTTATCTCTGTAACCGGAGCAGAAACTGATCAGGAACATTTACAGGTAAAAAGCAAAACAAATAAAGGACTTTGGCTATCATAAGGTGGATATCCAGGTATTCAAGCAGTATACCTAAAATATTTTGTCAAAAGCAGGGTGAAATTAGGCAAAAGATTTTATTTTGTTCTTAAATGAAGTGGTTAGAAACAGCAGTTGGGAATTATGTTACTCTCTATGCCTTTGGAGTTTGTGTATGTGTATGACGGAGAAAAATATACCAGAAGTAAAACTACAGAAGTTTTTAACACAGCAGGTCATTGTAATGCAGCTGCAGTGGAGTTATTAGCACAACTGATTGTGATGGTAGATCACAACATGTGGCCTACAGAAGGCTTTGTTTTGTTCTCTGGTACTTAGTTTTGCTTGGGCTTTTAAGGCATTTTGCAGTTTTTCTGTAACAGAGGTCTGTAGGCGCGCTTTAGAAATGTCATGATTACAAAGAGGAGTAAATGCTAAAATTGAATTTACATGCTACATGGCATCTTCCATCATCTGTGGGGGGAAAAAAGAACAAACCACATGAAGAGAAATAGCTGGTTTTAAAGTTAAGCATTGAAGATAATGAGTGTAGGTGCCAGTACACTTGCTTGGTCTGTGGGCCTTCTGTTTGTGAGTGGTTGTGTATGTTTCCAGGCTTTCAAGCTCTAGCTCTGTGAAAAATGCAGCAAAGATGGACAAAAGTGACTGTGTGCCTGTTGTATTCAAGCCTTCCCCTTCAAGACGAGCTCCTTCTGAATTCACAGGACCCAGAGAGCAGAGCAGGGAGCACGCAGAGGAGCTGCGCCCGCAGCTCGTCCTCTCCTGACCCTCTTCTCCCCAGGCCCCGGCCAGGCCTGGCAAATGGAGGCCTGGCGCTCTGCCATGGCTTATGCAAGGCTTTCTGTGCCCTACTTATCTGAACAAAGGCTGCTCTGAGGAGCACAAGCAGCACACCTAGGTCACATAGGCAGAAAAAGCCATCTCTTGACAGAGTTATACTGAGTCACGATGGAGCTTGCCCTCATGGTAAGTCTGGGAGAACTGTCAGGTTTCAAACGATGGCTCACCGTGCTTGCTAAATAAATGCAGAACGGAGAATTACTGAGCGCTTCTTAATGCCCTCCTACAGAGCAGCAGGGTTGAGAATCACCGTTCTGAAGTCTGGGACTTCGATGTAGACAGAAGTATTATTAAAAATCTTGTAAAAAGAGGAAAATGGGTCTTCCTGCATTGGTCATTTTCTAATGAAAGGCCAAAAAAGAGTAGGGGCACTTGCCTGTAAAACTGTGAAGAGCTAGGGTGCTAAGAGGACTGGTGTTTAATTCTAGTACTGAAAACATATTAAGCTGCTTAAATTCATGTCAGTTTACTTCTATTTTCCTACTAGAGCTAATACTTTCATCAGCTATGTTTATATGCAGTCCGCTGTACTTCTGATCCTTGAAAAGGTTACCTTTGCGATTGTTTCCACAATCAGAAGCAAGTCAAGGACTGGAGAGGAGACAGAGCAGGCTGTAGATAATTGTGCAATTACAGATGGCTACAAATCAAGGTATATTGTGACTTCGGCTGCAGCCCTTGAAGAGAGACTGTTACTTTTTAACATTCAGAACACTGCCTTCTAGGTAAATCCTCTTACTCAGGATTTGAATTTCTATAGACTGCTGTCTGCCTTGAGGTATTGTATGTCGTCTCTGAACTGCAGCGGCCTCTCCTGCATAATAACTATTTCACACAGCAGTAGCCAGCTTCAGTACTGCAATATTTGAGAGAGGTGCAGATGTTTGCTAGCTGCTTCTGTTTGTTGCAGAGATGGAAGTTGGAAATTATCACTGTTCTTTTAATTTTTGGTGCTGGTAATTGTAATTAGTGGACCTGCTTCTGGCTGATAAGTTTTTATGTGTCGGAGTGCATGCTTTTTTTGTCTGTTTTTGACTACTTACTGCGGAGCTATGGATTATTTATCTAGCAAGAGGTGCAGGTTTGCTTGTGTCTGTGCATTTCAAAGGTTCTTGGTTTGAAAGGTTCTGGGCTGTCTGTGTGTTGCTTTGCAAGAATTGTTTAGGGCAAGTGGTTTGTTTTTCTGTAGTTACCTGCTTCAGATTATCCATTTCCTTATTCTTTGTGGCTTTGTAAACAGTTCTAGCAGAAATCTGCTACATTAAGAAAATTTCCATGATGTGGATTTTGAAATGGGAAAGACAGTGTGGTATGAGTAGGAATTTAAATTTTTAGAAGGCATTGGTGAGTGTACTCCTGCTTTTTACTGTACAGCACTGATATTTCTGGCATATTTAAATATTAAAATGGTTAGATTTTCTTGTATGGTTGCCTGCTTTCTCTCGGTGAGCCTCACTGCAATAACCTTTCTGCAAAGCTGCTGCAGAACAATTGTCAATCGCTTCTCTTTACATCTGCGGATTTTTATAATAGCATTGCTAGGTGAGAACAAATCTGTTCCTTTCTGCTTTATCTTTTCATATTAATTGTTAATGACAGCGTAAGCTTACACGTCTGTGCAAAATGGATTTTGAATCATTTCAATCAGTATACTCAATGTACAGGCCAAAGTATACAGGTCTGTTCCTTTTTGCTTTCCCCTCCTTTTTTTTTTCTTTCTTTTTTTGGTTAGGAAAAATGCGATATAATGTAGAGCATCTTATTTTTATTTAGTCTTTTTTTTTTTTTTTTTTAACTTGCCTGCTTAGTAGAATCACTATGGTAACAGACTAAAGGATGTCTCAGAGGCACACAAGTAGCATTGCAATGTGAGGGGAGATTTTAAGTTCTCTGTGACTGCTGAACACTAGAAAAAGGATCAGGCAAATCAGAGAAATAAGCTGGTATTTAGTATTAATAAGCTATTACTTAATGTTTGTGCTAAGGTTAAAAAGCTATTTTACAAGTAATGTATACGTGAGTTCATTGTTTTCTGTACCCTGTTTTGGGAATGATGTTGCTGAAGTTGTCATTAAAAATTGTAAATTTGGGTTAATCAACTTGAGTTTGTTTCATTTTCTAAAAGCTGCTATGTATTACAAATGGTGTTGATGTAAGTCAGTGAGGAGGTAAGCTGTGCTACTGTATGCCTCTGCTAATGAGGGTGTTCTTTTCTTATACTGTGCTATGGATAATACATTAATTTTCTAATATTTTTTTCTGTTAAAATGTTTTTGTTTGGTGTTCTGTTAAACTCTTGTAAATCTTTGAGATGTACATTATCTAGACATTATACACAAGGTATTATTCGGAGCAGGAGGAAAGTTACCTAGATGCTTGGAGTACGACAGTATGGAAAAAGCAAGTTGCATATACATCAATTGTCAATGAATTATTTATTTTTTTCTTCCTACTTACACTAATAAGCTTCTGATGCCTCCTCATATGGCATCCTGAACAGTGGCTGTCAATTTTGTGCTAAGTGGCTAAAATATTCTGAAGTATCAGTAACGTTTTGTGCATTCAAGCCATCCAATATTGTACTTTGTAGATAACTGTGTCAGCTGTAGTATTTTACATGCTGTCTCTTAGGTTCCTGTATTCCTAGGCCTTACTCTCTGGTGGGTGGATGTATTCATCCAAATTCTCTGCTGCATGTAGGAATTTTCTGTGAAGTTTGTAGAAAAGGGAATGGGCACTTGAGTTTGTATGCCTCGTCTATTCAATTTAACACACTTGGTTACTTTTCAAACTGTAAATAGCGATCTCTAAGCTGGCATGACACTTATGAAATTATTGGTCACATCCAGGCTTTCTTGCAGATAGCCTTTTTCTCTTTTTTTTGCGTTCTCTTCTTTCCAGATGAGTGAAATGCTTATCTCAGAATGTGAGAACACAAAGGTGTTCCCAAAATTTTTCATGGTTCTTGAGGAAAAATGGTTAAAAATAAACAAGCTTTAGTGTTTAACTGAAGTTAACCTGGTGGGGAGAGGGCATAAGAACTTACTAACTGCTATTGAATTCATGTTTTAATGTAGAGGTACTCATTTTAAGTGTGGTTTGACAAAAGAAAATGTTTAAAAAAAAAAGAAAAAGAGAAACAAAACCACTCATTTGCATAAAAATACTCTGTTTTTCTAGATAAACAAATTTGTAGCTTGGATGTTGATCTTCATGAGGCTATGAGCTAGTAGTGTAACTTCATTCTCAATTGTGCATTCCGAGGAAAACTTGATTTTCCAATTTTGACCATTCATTTGATGCAGTCATTGTTCCAGATGCTGTCTGTTCTAATTATTTTGTGAAGATGTCTTTTGCAAACTTGCATTGCTAGAAGCATTGCTACATGTTTACAACAAAAATTTTACTTTCGTCTAGTAAACACAGTTGAACAGAAATCGGAAATTGTTTTCTTTAAGCCATTTGGTAAAATATGGTATTTATTTTCAAGTATCAGTTTGATTTATTCTTAGTAATTTGCGAAAGTACTAGAATTACGTTGTTTGAAAATCAAATCATCCTTGTTTTTTTCAGCATTTTCAGTTAGCTTTGATTGACTGCAATCCCTGCACTTTGTCTAACGCTGAAAGTAAGTAACTTTTAAGTATTTACATTAATTTTGTTTCAGATTAAAAAAAAAAAAAGTTCACAATTGTATCAGTTTTTAGTGGAAAAAAAAACCACACAAAATCAAAAGACAGAAAATAGAGAGGAAGACTACAATACTTGCTGTTGTGAATGGAGACAGATACTCCAGTGGAACTGTGATTGTTTTAGTAAATGGAATAAGTAAAAATTGAGACTTTTACCATATTAACTGGTCTGATGCCTTGAGTTCTGGAGGCAGCTTGCTATTTGACTGTTAGTTCATTTATTTATTTATAAATGTAATGTGTGTGCCATGGCTCATATTTAATAGTCATCATTTCAAACTTCAAGGCATCTTGGTAGTGTCTTTTTTCAGCAATCACTTTAATGTCCTTAAAATTTATAAATCTCGTGTTCGACATCAGTTTTATGCTGTTGAAGAAAAATCAGAAAATCATAATTTATTTGGTTTATTAGATGCCACTATATATCAGTTGGTGCTGGAACATGATAATCTTTTAATGTGGTATAATCTATCATACTGTTGTACATTCTGTAGGCTGTTACAGAGCATACTGGAGATATTTATCCCTAATTAGTGGAATTGTATGCAGGAATAAATGTATGTTCTTGTGTGCTTTGGAGTCCGTAAGAATTAAAAGCCAGACAGTTTTTAAGGTACCTTCATGCTGCACTTGGTGTTGAGTTTGAATTGCCTCCTAAGAGTAAGTTTAGAAGCATTAGATAAAATAATTAAAAACATTTTTCTATTTCTTAATTCAAATTCTGAATATTCTGTCAGCAAGGGTAATGAAAGGGGTTTTGTTCACACGGGTGAAACTGCTGGCCGCTTCGGTATCAAGCGCCAGCTGCACTACAAAGTCCTCTGCGAAGTATGTCACTTATCAGGAGCAGGCACAGATAATTTTGTAAAATTATTTGTGGAATTCTTACTAGGTCAGTAGGTTCTTATTGTTTTCTACCAGCCATATCATTCCTTATTTTATTTCATGCTCTTTCTTACTGTTTCTCACCGACCTAGTTAGTTTTCACTGTATCTCTGAATATTTGTAAGGCTTTCCTCAGCCTTCCCCCACCTTCCTCCTCTGCCCCCAGATTTATGTAGAGGTACGGCCCCACATAAGGGCTGCTTTGTCCCATGGTTTTGGGCCTGGCAAGCACAGAGGAAGAGAGAGAAGAGGAACGAGAGATAATTTGTCAGGTTCTTCAGTACCACTTAGTGGAAAGGTATCAGGTACTGTCACATAAATGCTTCAGATCGCCCTAATCCCGTCCCTTCTATTTCTATAGAGGGCTGTGTCAGTAACAGCAGTACAGCGACTGTCTTCCAAGCAGAAGTGTTTAAATACCCAGCGTATCTTTTTATTTAGGCTGTCGCTAATGTGACACCTTTATGTTTTTTTTCCCCCTGCAAGGTACGGCTTTCTTTTGTAGATTTGCACTGAAAAGGTTTTGCTATGGGGGGGGAAGAAAGAAGATTATTTTTTAGGTAATGAACTCCCTAAAACAAAAGCAGAGGTTTCTCTTTCACCAGTGCAGAATGAAGTTTGATGATACGGTGAACGTAAATGGGGGTGTTATGTGCCCTTTAGCAAAGAACACAACAAGTTTATTAAAAATTGATTACAATTTTAGATGATACATTTCATTATGATCTGGTTTCTCAAATGCAGTAGGGTGCCTTCTTTTATGGTGAAGGACAACACAGTGTACAGAGGGATCTTCTTCCCTCCCTTGTGACCCAGGGAGAAAACCTGGAGCCCCAAATTACCTGTAACCTCTGTGTTACACTGTTCTGTAGCTCTGAGAAAGAATTCTGTGCAATTGAAATGAGCTGACCTTAGCTTAAACACAGATATTTTCTTATTTGTTTCTAACTTGGTTATGTACAGCAAACATTACCTATATTATGTCATTGTGCATCTCTGCTTAAAGAGATTTTATTGCTAACTTCACTGAAAGGTTAATGGACTCAGCATTTCACAATACAAATAAAATCCATGGACTGCCTTTCTGCACTATGTTTGCAGTCTTGGTGCTTTGCTCGAATACACATTTGTTTTCTGTCAGTTCTGTTTTATTAAATGTGAAATATCAGTGTTTACATACTGTTATATTTTCAAAATGTAGTTAGCCTTGGTTTTGCATTGGTAAATTTGAAACATGTTTCTCTCTCAATTGAAAAAAAATGTAATTCTAATGTCATTCATTATGACTAATAATTTTGATTTCTCCCTCTTACAGTTCAGTTTCACATCGCCCACTTATATGAAATTCAGGTAAGCTTTAAGCTCTTTTTTATAATGAGTTATGAAGTTTCTAACTACGTGATATAATCAGTTTGTGGACTCCAGCTGATTATAGGTGCTTTTGTGAATTGAAGTTAGGCTCAAGTCTTCAGTCGCAGAATAAACTTTATTTACTTCTGTTAAGTTGAAAATACCATGCATGAGGACTCATGCTAAAGTGAAGTAGCTATTTTATTAAACATACATTCACTAGTCTCCTAAGTGGGGTACAAAAACAAAATGTAACTTTGGCTAACATGGTAATGCGTGTTTTTTATTTTATTTTTTAAATAGATACATTGCATATAAATGTAAAAAAAAAAAACATAGTTTCTCATTTCATATATATTTATATTGTTCTTGCATTCACACATGGTAAAGTCTAAGCAGATACCCAGGTGCCTTTTAAGTATATTTGACATGAAATTTTCGAATTTAACTAGACACATGTGACAGGAGCATGTGAGATCCGAGGACAATAGCACATAAAGCTGTGTTATTAATTCTGTGTCGAATCCCACCGCAGAGTTTTTTAGATGGATCTTTTGGGAAATTACCAAGCACTCACTGAGCTTCCAGGATATAAATAAATTAAAACGAAGCAGCTACTGAAACAGCTATTGTATATTTGTAACCTGGCTGACTAGTCATATGACTGTAGATTGTATACTCTCTTATCATGTTTATAGGTATAATATGACTGAGGAAGAGGTGTGACATGAAAACAAAAACTGTTGTAAATAAAACGGATGACAGACAAATTCTACATTTTCAGTCTGTTGAAAAGTAGCTTGATAAAGTAAGTGCTGTCTTTCGATGGCACGGTGAAAAATGCCTTTAAGTAGGTATTTATTTATAAATGAAAGTGGTAGATTTGAACGAGGTATTTTCTTCTGAGCTCTTTCAGTGCAGTAGAATATATGAATTTGGAAAGCTAAATAACCCAAACCCCCATCCCAAACAACCATTAAGAAACTTCCTGGACTGTTGTGGCTCTGTAAAGCATTAGAAAGACTTTTTATTTGGCCACCAGCCAGATTTCATTTTGAGCATTGGAGCACATCTGACAAGTTTATATAACAAAGCATCCCCCACACGCTAGTTCTTTTGATCTGGCAGAATAAAGCAGAAAGTAGAAAATCTCAGGTCGCCATGCCAGGTGCCTTATAATAGTGTGACCAATTTTACAAATGCTCAAGCTAAGTTTTCTGTCTGGCATTTGTATGCAACGGGAACTTGTAATGCAAGTCAGAGCCAAAAAGTTTCAGTGCATACTGCTGTTAGACTTGGTTTGCCTCAGAGTTCTCCTTGAGGGGCGTCTTCTTTTCTGGAATTTGAGAAACTTGGTACCATGAGGGGTCTTGACGTGGTTCTGAATATTACCTTTGGCACAGCGAAGAGGTGTTTTTGGAGTGAGGCTGGATGTTTGATATCTTCTAAAGGACATAGTGCTACAATTCTCTGTGAACCCTGTCATATATTTGAAAATGAGCTCCTCTCTGATGCTCGATCAGAAAGTGGATTCATTCTGAACAAGAGAACAGCCTGGTGCTGATAAGAAATAGCCATGTTTTTTCTTGGTGTTTAATGTTAGTTTCTACAACTTGATCTCTGGCAGTGAGTCCCTCCAGGGTACTAGCTCCTACAGTTCCTAAAGAAAAATGATGATGATGATGCTTAACTCCCAACCCCCATTTCTACGACTATTGGTGATGCAGCCAAATATCAAGGATGTATACTCTAATCTTTGGAATTAAAATATCTGAATAAAAGCAAATTATGACAGTTTTCAGTAACGTTTGAAGGTATATATGTAAACAGATTTCTAAAAGGTAAATAATACAACAAATAACAAAAGTAAAAATTATTCTAGACTTGGAAAACATGCTATTAGATCTTTCTACATCCTTGCAAGTATGCAAACATCTTTTTCCAAGTGGAGATCCTAGTTTTACTAGATACTCTGTTTTACATCCAGATTGCTGACCCTGCTGTCATGCTGTATGGTGAACGTCTGTTCATTTGCCTATCCTTCATAGTCATTAACTACAAATTTTGTTCCCAATGCTAAATTTAAAATTTTTTCCTGATTGTTTTTATTTTGCTAGCCATGGATATTTTATTTATTTATATTATTTGTTTTCTTACCAGTTGTCTGCATTTCATGAACACCAATTAAAAACCTTTTCTACCAACTTCCCCTTGTTCCATTTGAAAGTATGTAATTGCTGCTTTAATTTTTCTTCCTGACTAGATTAAGGTTTTAAAAACAACAAGGTTGTCTATTTTCTTATCAGTTGTCCCTTTTAAAACACCAATAGTCAGTACTGTGTTCTCTTTGCATATAAAAAAAAAAATGTTAATTAAGTCAGAATGATTTGTATTTAGTTGGCCCTGTTTATTTTCATATGCTCTTCATTTGTTTGCCAGAATGAGGTCCAATGTTAAATTATTTGAAAGTATATTTTTATTTTTATTTTTTAAATACACATATATATGTATAGTGTAGAATTTTTAGAAACTTAAAAAATAAATTACCGGTTCTAACAGACTTCAACTTTATACCTTCTAGACTTTTGTGGGAGAGGAGGAACAGAAGAATTTAGAATAAGTTCATTTAGAATAAGTTCACTTTAAACAAGTTATTGTTAAGGTAACATGAAGATAAGCAGATGTGGGCGCTTACCAAAAGATAGAAAATAAAAATCAAGAATTCTTAACCTTTAATGTGCACAAAGCAGTTTATACTGTTCCAGAAGTTAATAAAGACCATGATTCTAACCTAGGAAATGTGTTTTCTGTTTCAAGTCCTGTTTATATAGGGAGTTGAGAATTGAACGTTTCCATGCTTTAAGCACGTCCAAACTATATGGCAAATAATAAGAGTGCATGCTGTCATTCTCTAGGCATAATCTGTGGATATATTTTAATTCTACATATGGTGGGACTCTTACCATACAACAAATAGATTGAAAAGGCAGTTCAAATATAGCACAGAGAAGGGAGATGCAAAATTATACCAGCCACCAGTTACTGATGATCTTCATTTCTGTTACGAATTTCCTGGGAGTAATTTGTGTAGGTTCTTTTTTCAGATGTAGACTCACAATCAAGCATTCCCCTTAAAAAGCAGTATGTTCATTTTAGTATAAGAAGAATAATGCATGTATGAGGAGCTGACCAAATTTAATAATTTACAATATTCCCTTGAATATTTTAAATATTTAATTTATATTAAATACTATACTTCATGGAAGTTATTCTCTTAACATATATATACGTCACTCAGGAAAGCTTTCATATGCACTGTATGCAGAAAAAAGTTCTAGATTTTTTTTGTCAATGTGTTTGTGTGCTGTCAGTGCTGTGAAATCATTGCTATTGGTGATCTATTGTAAGCTTTATGATTAATCAATTTACTTTTTTCCTTTTGCAGAGAAAGTATCACTCTGCAAAGGAAGCTTATGAACAACTTTTGCAGATCGAAAACCTTCCTGCACAAGTAAAAGCAACTGTCTTACAGCAGTTAGGTATGTAAAATCAACTTTTATTTTCCTGTGTTTGTTTTTTCTATCTTTGCATTCAGCAATAGTGTTTTAAGGCTCCATTTCCAAAGTGAGTCTTAAACGCTGAGTATCATACGTGAGTTTTTCACCCAAAATAGAAAACATAACAGTAGATAATTAACAAAATAAGAGAGAAGGGAAATATTTTAATTAAACTTACAAAATTAAAAAGCTCTTAGACTTGCTGCAGTATCTGTGCTACAGGTTTTGGGCAATGAGGAGGTGATCTTTCAGAGCCAAGAGTACAGTAGTTAGAATTCTGTATTCTTTGAATTCTGAATTCTGCCTTGGGGAACATCCCTTGAACAGCCATGTTAAGGGCAGTAAACCAAAATACTCTTTTCTGCTGCAGAATAGGAGAACACTGCAGATGAAAAATTTCCCTTTTCTTTCTTCATAATTATTAGTGTTTAATAAAAACCATGCTCTTCTAACTAAAATTTTATCATCAGATTCCATAACAGAAGCTACCAAAAAAGTGAAAAAACACTACCTTTTAAAATTTGTCATCTCCCATATTTATAGAAAGCTGATAAATCATTTGTAGACAAAAACTTGTAATGGATGGGTAGAATAAATTACATTTGCTCTATATGCCTTCTAAAAGTATTTCCAGAATATTTTGTTAAAATTATTCAATCCAGTGCAAATTCTTCATTCACTTTCTCCATGTTCCTCATCTAATTTATTATTCCAAATATTAATTTAGCCTGCTTATGCCCATCTCTTTTTTCTTTTTATTTTTTTTCCTTCACACAGTGGTTTTTTAATTCAAATCAGTACTCAGTACTAAGTTATGGCTACAATAATATTTTTTTTTCTTGTAATGCTGGTTGTGTATGTATTTGGAGTGGGCTAATTCGTTTAGCTTTTGATTTTTCTATGTGAAATCACAAATGAAACAGCTGGAATCTCGATGCTGATCTTCTTGTCACGTGACAGCATTCCTTACATTTAAGTATCCCCTTTAATTTTTTTATTTTTGAATTTTTTTTTTCTTTAACGTGGTACTACCCCACCTAGTATAAATTGTCAACAGTTTCATCCAGAACAGCTACGCATAAAATCAACAAGAGATAGACTGCCCAAAATAGCTTGACCAATGCTTTTGCAACCCTGTTTGCCACGTTGCTAGACCAGAAGCAAAGGCATGGTTGTATTCATGAAATCATACTGCAGGTCTCCGTGCTATTAATCAGAGCAGTGCTGTCTAAAAACTGGATTCACTTCCCCTGTTCAATCAGCATAGGGCACCTGGTTGTGATAGTGGGGGTAGCTTCTATGTGGAGGAAGGGACAGAGTGGTTTTAACCAGAACATTCAAGGAACAATACTGTTTCTTTTTCTCTTTGCTGCTAATAGTCCTGTTTATCAGTGTGGTGTTTATCACAGATCTGGGTTCTAGCAACTGATAATAAAACACCTCCTAAGGAAGCATGGTCTGGGTGGTACAGTGCTGCTTAGAAAAAATAATAGAAAATACCTGCCATCTGCCAGAATGCTACGGGCAAAAAACAATCCAAATGTATTTGGATTTCTATATTTAACTTTTTTTTTTTACTCAAACAGAAAAATTATTTTGGCATGAAAATACCTTTTGTTTATTTTCCTTGGCTAGTTAATGTTTATTGAGCAAGAGTTGAAATCTAGGGAAGTTCGGATGTTGTTTGGGAGAATTATTAAAAACTTTGCTCCTGTTGCTGGTCTCCAAAACAGGTCATTGTGGAAGAGAAGCTTGTGATTCTCAAGGAATTATGTATGTGTTTGAGCTGATGCGTGCTAATTAGTTCCGATAGATGTAACAGGAAGATCTGTGCAGTTGGATAAGAACAGTTTGTTTCTTCTTTTTTACCACAATTCATTTGCTTTCCAGACAATAATTCGTTTCACCACTTTGCCTAAAATTACATTAAATAAGGACAGCCGTACCAGATGAGACTGAAGATCAAATCTGTCCCAGTATTCTTTCTCCAATTGTAATTAACAGTTGCATAAGGAGGAGTGTAGGAACAATGTAAGCATCTGCTTTTTCCCAAAGCACCCTCCCAAGGACTTTTGTCTGGGGGCATTCCTAGGAGGTGTCTGTATAATTGGATGAGCCATTGTGAGATAGTAAAATAGGGAAGAGGCTCATCTCTTCGGAGTCTGAGATGATGTTTTTCAGGGAAAAAAGCAATTGCTGTAAGTTCAGCACGAGAATGATTGATAGGCGTAAAACCAACTGAAGCATGAGCCAGGCTGGAACATGCTCTTGCAGAGGAAACATGGTGATTTGTTACAAATTACATTGTAAACTCCTGAAAACGAGCCTGGAACGTGGACAAAATCAGCATTTTTGATTGTAATGTTGAAAAGGTCCCAGAAGTAGAAGAGTATTTACTATTCTAGTTGACAATTTGAATTAGGTCTTGCAAAGGAGAAGCTGGATCAGTTTATCAGGGTTTTTAGATTGCCATCTTTCTGTATGTTCTTCCATTTTATGCATGAGGAAAAGAGAGATCCAGTTTTTTTTACCTGTGCCGTTCTAGTAGAAAACTTTGTTCTCCCTCTCTTGCCTTCTGCTTTTTTCACCTCTCCTCAGGTAGGCAGATAAAATCAGGAAGCAACACTTGGTTCAGCAGTGAAACTAGATAGGCTTTGCTAGTTCTCGTTTCTGTCTCCTGGAAGTAGATTCTTGTTTCTTATCAGTGAACCCCAGCAAAGATCTGACGATACAGCATGTTATCTCGCAGTCCGGCCAGGTTCAGATTAAGCATAAAATAGGCATCACCAGACAACACTTGGGAAGATTTGGGAAAATATTTAATGTCTGTTTTACCCACGTTTAGGCTTCCTGAGCTATTTATTACCTTTATCTCACTCGGGCTTTGCCTACCGCTTCACACAATACATTTTATCCTTACTATACAATTGCGCAGGTGCATTCAGATTACCACCCTCACATAAACCTTTTTTCTTAAAGCATAAAGATTTGCTATATGCTTAACAACTTCACTGACCTGGGATTTGCATAAAAATTGTGGTTTGTTTATGAAGTCCATGAAAGAATGTTGCATATATTATGTGTCTCTGCAAAAATGTCTGCTTTTTTTTATTATTTTTTTTTTTCCCTGACGGGCAATGTTTTGACTTGATCCATCTCCAGACAAGATAAAGCGCTCTTCTGTCAGCACTGTAACCGCTTGACTTCTAACCTGGTATTTCTTGCAGTCCATGAAATATTCAAACTTAACCTCCTGACCACGGTTTCCAAGTGGAGACTTGGAAACTTCTTAAAACACCTCGAGCAAACGTTGTTCAGCAGATAAAATTTTCTCCTAGATTGCCTATTTTTTAAAGCTTGGAAGTTTGCCTTCCATTTGCAAAAGTGTCGCTGTGACTGTTGATCAGCTATAAGCCCATGCAATTGAAAAAAAAAATACATATATAAAACATATAGAAGTGGAATAAGGTATTTAAGGTGTAGTCTGATGTCAGAGAGTGAAGTAAGGCTGCAAATACTCATTAGTTCAGTTCTCAGCCTTGCTTACTTCATCTTGCATTTCAGATGAGGCAGGCAGACTCTGATCCTTTAAATGATATTATGTTTATGTAGTTAGACAGTATAATGAAGGATAAGCTTAGGGTGCTAAAGCTTAGTGGATGGGGTTTTAAATGGACATTCAGTGCATGTGTGTACAAATGTTTGTAGCTAAAACTTTCATAAAATAGCCAAGGTTTGCCTGAACTGATAAAGTATTTCACAAAGGGTCATTTTTAAGCAGGGTACTATAGAAACATAGGGACAGTCTGTTGTCATACCTTAGAGTTTACAAATGTTAAGCAAAAAGCAATGGGTTACTAAGACAAATATATGGAGGTTAAGCAAACGGCAAGACATTATTGACTAGTGTGGTTGGTTGAGACTTCAGCAAGTCAGCAGCCTGTTACAAAGGATTTCCTTGTACTCATGATACTAACAGCAGTGGGATAACTTTGTGACTGCTTAAAGGGGATTCCATTGAAGCGCAGTGGCAGATAGGAAGAAGCTTAAGTAGATGATAAAGATGCTTTATTTTAAATGGTAACCAAGTCTTACATCATTGCTAGAGCAGAGATGTACCTTAATAGCATGTAAAAGATGTTTTGGGGGCACAGATTGTTGAAGGCTATTAAAGTGGAGATAAATAATTTATCTAATGTAAGTAAAAAAGGGAAGGATATGGAAGGATATTGTGTGGTCACGTGAGAAAATAAAATTATCTTTTTAGCAGGATTTGGTTTGCAGATGAGAGGTGATTCTGTTTGCCAAGGTTTGCCAAAGGAAAGGATGTTACAGCAATGAGATGATAACATATGAAAAATTTAAGTGGAGATACAGCATTTCTTACAGATGTTCAGTTGGGGAATAGTGCAAATATAGGATGAATATCAGCATTTAGAAGGAAAGGTTAAGCTGAAAATAATATACAGATAATAGATATACCACCGTTCTCCCTGTAACGCATTTTTCACAACAGGAAAGGTGCCTCTGTTCAGAGAAGAGAGGAGTTAACATTTTCAAGTTAACTTTTTATAGAGGAAGATTGAGTGGTTAATAGTTAAGCTTCTAACCTTGTAGAAAATGCTTTAAACAAAAACGTTTTAAAACCACCTGAAAGTAATTTTCACTCTAGGTCCTTTCATCCTGTAATTTTAGTATAGAACATAAAAAGTAAATTTTAAAAGTTTCATTCATAATAGTGTATGTAAGCAATAGCATTGTTTCATATTCCTATTTTTAAAGAGGAACTAAAGCTGTCAATATCCTGCTGTGCCAAAGCATTAAATAGTCTTGGAGAATTTCACTTCTGCCATTTATGGATTCTTTCTGTAGGCTGGATGCATCACACCGTGGATCAGCTTGGAGACAAGGCAACCAAGGAAAGTTATGCTATACAATATCTCCAGAAATCTCTAGAAGCGGATCCAAATTCTGGTCAATCCTGGTATTTCCTTGGAAGGTGAGAGATGACTTTATAGACACTCCTAACTGTATTTGTAGCTTCTTTGAGGATACTGATTATTAGGAGATATCTTTTATGTTGTCCTTAGCAGCTTTGGATGAAAAATGAAGGGAAAAGATGTATGTATCTACTAAAGCCTAATTTTCTGGAAAGTATATAGAAAGACAAGCTGCTGACATACTTGGGATGAATATAGATTAGAAGTTGAAATTAATTATATTACCTAAGTGGTCCTGCTTTTTTTGTAGTTATTCAGTTTACACTAATGTCAGTCTCCCCTGCTTGTTTTTACTTTTCTGATTATTCCTGTTTATTTTTTTGTCAAAATCCCCCTTCTGGTCTCAACAATTTCAAAACTAAAATATAGATACTTTTCTCAGATGTCTATTCATCTGCAAACAGAATAGATTACAACTAAATATTAGACCAGGATAGCTCAGGTGGATCTATTTTAATTTCTACTTACGTATTGTGTTCATCTCTACTTGTGCACAGCATTTTTCACTTAAAATTAACTCACTTCAAGATGTAAATCGTATCGACTTGATGACTCTTCTTGGTCTCCTTTTAAAGAAAATGAGGTGCTTTATGAACATGCTAGCAACAACTCTTGGAATATTTGGGTTTTGGAGAATAACAATCCAACTTGCTTTCTATAAGCTTGAAAGCATTGAGGACAGTTTAAGTCCACATGTGCATGGGTCAGTTCTGTTGAGAAATACGTTACATAGAAACCTCAGTATTTTCCAGCTCACTTTCTTGGAGGTTCTTGTCAAACACAACTAGAACACACTGTTGTTTCTGTCACCCTAGTTATGTTCCTGCAGCTGGTCCTTTAGGACAGGGCTTTTAACCCAGCAGTCTGCAGGCTAAGGGAAGAGCACAGGGAGTGAGTGTGAAGGGCAGGTTGGAGTAGGAGTGGGGAGAAAAGGGAAAACTAGCCAGGGATTGTCTGGCTCATCTTGTCATCTGCTGGCTTAAAATCCTGTTATTTCTTTTTTTCCTCTGAAGTCCCATTCCACGTGGCTAGAGCTAGCTGATTTCTTACACAGAAGCAGGGCAGAGCCAGGGCTCTGTGGAGTATCGTGGGCAGCTGCTGTGGTCTTGCTGTGCTTCGGCTTTAATGTGGTTGGAGTGAAACCTAGGACCATACAAATGAGGGTGAGGAATGGAGGAAAAGGGGGAAGAGAAAACCTAGTGGAAGTGTCCCTTACTACTCTACACTGAAATGTTTGTGCCTCATTCTTCCAATCCATACGCTGGCAGGAGAAAAGGAGAGTGATAAGGTTACAGAGCTGGTCTGTCTGTGCATTTGCTCTTCCTCTTTTTCTCTCTCCCTGTGTATTCCCTTGTGTTATTTCTTCCTCTTCTGGCCTTCCACCAAACTGGGTAGCATGTTGATTTAAGGCTAGCTTCCTAGATAACTTGCAAAAAATAAACCTCTACCCCAATCTAATCCACTCCTTCCTCCCCTCTCCCTCCGTCCCCCCCCCCAAAAAAGAAATAAAAATCACACCACCTTTTTTTAAGGTTTGTTGGGTGCTTAATGTTAGTGTTACCCTAATTGGAGTCTTTGTGTATCTGTTAATCAGACAGATTTCAACATGCCTATTGGAACTTGGGTTAGACTGCGATAAACATGATCTTCTGAAACATTGTGTTGAGATTTAATGTGTCTTTTTAGACCAAGTACCACTAGGTATTAGAGTATTTTCTAGTGAGCCTTGATAATATACAGAATACACCAAAGTGTAGCATGTTTGATGGATCTTCACCTGTACTGGTTTGCTTCGATATTATTTTTTACTAGAATAAATGTTTTCTTGTTATTTATCTGCTTTGAAAGCTGTGAGTTCTTTTTCCAAGAAGGAAACTTACCACAAACATTATGAGGAATAAGAGCTATTGCAAACAAACCTAGTAAACGCATACGCATTTTTAATATTTTATTTATTTGAAGGTTTTCATTTTTAAAAGGTAGGTATTATTCCCTGTGGTATAATGGTAGTTCTCTTTCAAGACCTGATATTTCTGCTAAAATGCCAGAATACCTGTGAAGTTGTAGTATATAGCTAATATTCAAGTAAGAAAACACAAAAAAAAATCCAGACAAGCAAGGGTTTTTTAGAGAATGTCTTGGACTCCCTATGTGGTAAAACTGGTATGTTGTTCATTACTTGAAATCTTACTGAAATATGAGAAATGCATATAAGAAATTTCCAAGGCAGTCAAGGACCATCTTGATTGAATTAGTCATTATCTCTTAATGATCATGAAACACTCCTTGTAGAAGATGATATTTTATTACGATAAGTTTCATGAAATAGGTAGTGTAATTGTTTCTTTAAAATGCTATCTGTAGATAAATATTTTCCCTATTGACCACTGAGATACTGTAAACAAAACAAATGTAGCTCTTCAAACTGTAATATGACTTCTGCTTTCCTTATGAATGTAGCAAGCTAGGGTTTAAACAGCTCTTGGTGTACTTCTCAAATAAACAGTTTGTAATGTATGTTGACAATGAAATTTGAGTCTGCTTGTGCCCAGCATTGAGAAACAGCAAATGTTTGGATTCATCTAGATGAGTATGTATTTGCATGATTTAACATTTATCAGACCAGTCTTGGTAAGCCATCCTCACTGATTAACTTCTTTAAATATTACCAAAGTTCTTTTTTTCTTCTCCCAGGTGCTATTCAAGTATTGGGAAAGTTCAGGATGCCTTTATATCTTATAGGCAATCTATTGATAAATCAGAAGCAAGTGCAGATACATGGTGTTCTATAGGGTAAGAATGAAACAGGGTAATACAGTGAAATTCAATGCTAATGCATATATATAAATGAAGAAAACCAGCTTTTTAACTCCTTTGTGCTCTCAAGTGGACCATAAAGCTTTTTTATTTCTACCTTTGTCATCAGATTTGTCTGATCTGAAGTTTAAATATTACATTTATATTTGCTTTCTCAATTTTTAAAAATAATGAATATGCTTTGTGTATGAGCTTTGCATGTTAAGATTTTGTAAATACGTTGTTTATGCTTATTGCTGTGCTTTATATACCAGCAAAGTTTATTAAGGGCTGTGGGGTGGATATGTATATTTCATTGTATTTTGACTTTGTTATTAATTCTCAACTTCACTAATCTTTCTATTCAGTGTGCTGTATCAACAGCAAAATCAGCCTATGGATGCTTTACAGGCCTATATCTGTGCTGTACAATTGGACCATGGCCATGCTGCAGCCTGGATGGACCTAGGCACACTCTATGAGTCCTGCAACCAGCCTCAGGATGCCATTAAATGCTACTTAAATGCAACTAGGAGCAAAAATTGTAGTAATACCTCTGCACTTGCAGCACGGATAAAGTATTTACAGGTAAAGCTAAAGTTTTAAGAAGCGGGAAATACTCTTCCAAATACATATCAGAGGGGAGGGGTGGGGTAGCACACAAATCTAACTTGCAGTTGTTTGTGGTGTGTATAACCTGTTTTCATATGTATTGTAAGCATATCATAGCCTGTAATATTTTATTTCTTCATTTTTAAGTGAAATTTAATTCCTTATAAACTCTATTTTGCACATTTAATTAATACATACTGTTTTACATCACTTCACTTTTTCTTTGTATTGTCTACATTTTTAAGTTCTCATAACGTAGAGAGAGAACACACACACACTATCTTTCACTCTTGTTTGCAATTTCAGAAAAAAAGAATTATGAGACCTCTGAATCCAGAGCTCATCTTTGTTCTGATTCTCACAAAGGTTTATATTCTGGTTACCCTCTTTATACTTAGCACCTTTCTAAAACCCCAAATTTTAAATCTATCCTCTCTTTAAGACATAATTAGCTACAGCATATAGGAAGATTTCATGGACTTGCTCTTAATAAAGTAGGCTTGTGTTAAATTTGCTTTTTACATAATTTTTCCTAGGCTCAGTTGTGTAACCTTCCACAAGGTAGTCTACAGAATAAAACTAAATTACTTCCTAGTATTGAGGAGGCATGGAGCCTACCAATCCCCGCAGAGCTTACCTCCAGGCAGGGTGCCATGAACACAGCACAGCAGGTGAGAAGTTGGGTTATGTTCTGCAGGTGCCCAGCTTTAAGGGTTCTTTACAATCTGTAGTGGTCAAGCTTATTTTATGGAGTGCAGGACTGGCTTTTATTAATGAAAAGCCTTTGATTTATTTGCAAAGGTATACTAGATCGAGAAGTAGCTCCCTCTAATATGGGAGAAAGATGGGGGTACCAATTTAGAACCTTTGTGGATTTTCATGATTTTAAAAGATTTCATCTTAAATAGAAATGCTGCAGTGGTTTAATAATCCCTTGAAAGGTACACATTCCTCCATTGATGACCATATGGAAACTGATTTTTCAGTTTTTGAGATCGGCTTCAGAATATCTGCTCAGCCCTTTTAAAATATGTGGGCTGTTAAAATATGTAGTTTAAAGGAAACGACTAAGAATATATAGAACCATATTTTTGTCTTCCTTCTGTGATTCTTAGGCTTGTAAACCTCATCATCCAAATACTGAACCTGTACTAGGCCTCACTCAAACACCAATTTCACAGCAATCCTTGCCACTACACATGATTCCTTCTAGCCAAGTAGATGACCTGACCAGTCCTGCCAAGAGGAAAAGAACATCTAGTCCAACAAAGGTATATATCCTGATGAACTAAAGAGCCCCCTACCAAAATTCTATGGAAATATGCACTAAAGTGATGCAGCATGCACAGAATTTGTGCTGTAAATTTCAATCCTTTGGCATCAAGGTGGGGAATGTTTTTTTTAAAAAAAAAAAAAAATTAAAGAACATTTTTCAGTGATATGTTTAATAAGGAGGTTACAGTTCAGATAGGAAGTGTGAAAGGGCAATGCAGATTGCTGGCACTATACTACATAGTTGTGTAAGTGAAAAAGTACAGTGGTAGTCTGATGATAGAGAGGGAGACAACCATGTCATCCTGTCTATTGCCTTTGCTTATATTTAGAATTCAAGTGTTTCATCATCATGTAATAGTGTTATAGTAGATAAAAGTATTCAGTTTTAACGCTAGTGTACCTTTAAGTTAATTGCATAATTTGATTTGATTGTTTCTCATGGTATTAGAAATCATTTACTTTTTCCTTTTAATTGCTATGGTTCTGTATGGGAATGGTAGAATGAGGTTTGGTGTTCTTTAGTATATTCTGTGTATATTGCTATTCTTGAAACAATGACTAGTTCTTTCATAAGATAAAATCTAGATATGAAAAAATGATGTTAACCATTTGGAAGTCAAGCATTTTAACATAATGTTTTCTCTCAGAATACTTCAGATGTTTGGAGCAGTGGCCATACAGTGTCACATCCTCCTGTACAACAACAAATTCATTCTTGGTGCTTGACACCACAGAAATTACAGGTAAATATGTTAAAGGGTCAGAAGCTTTGATTTTTTATTTCTTTCTGTCTTTTGAGAAAAATACTTCGGGTTTCACATTTCTGATATTCAATGAGAAAGAATACACATTGTGTTAGTATTTATGGATTCCCAGTGGAATCTGAAAGATTAACTATATAAGGAAATAATCATTGGTAGAAACTGAAGGTTTGCATTGTTTGAATTCTATAATGTAAGTCAGAACATACAGTAATGCTTTTTTCTTATGATGTTTTAAAGATAGATATGCAAATTGTGACACTTGTGAGCCAAGTGAATTTTGCTTCTCAGTGTAGTGTGGGAGATATTGAAGAAGGTGTAAAAGCATCGTAGCATCCTCTTTTTCCTGTCAGGTAGCTTCGCGTATCAAACTGCATAAACAAACTTGCACATTCTATAAAATGGGATTATTCAAATCAAATCTAACATATTTCTATGAAATGCTAGTTTTTATTTCTGAAACATTGCTTAAGGTCTTTTTTGTCATGATGCTTTGTTGTCTCTTCAGTTCATGAGGGTTTGCAGTGAGCTTCAGCAGGAATTCCAGATTTTGAAAATCAGGCGTAGCTGGAAACCCTCGCCCATGTATCACAGATACTGCTTTGGATACAAGGAAAAATAAAAGGGAACACAGTGCAGAGACAGAAGGCATTCTGATTGACTGAGCAGTATTCCCCTTAGCACCCAATATAGATCTTCAGCTGTTTCTTTATCTGAACAATGCTGGCTGTACAATGCTGCATAATTTCTCCTTCCCTTCCCTCCATCTTTCACCCCTCACTGCTTTGGTCTTCCCTTATCTTTTGCATTTCTCTCTCTTCATGCGTTCTCATTATTTCTGTCTGCTTATTTTATGTTCTACTACTTTTTCACCTTCTCAGGCATTGTTACAGTTTTGCTTTTTCCAGATCCAACTTCATCACCATTAAGCGGCCGCATAAATAGGCTTCCCTAAGCATGGGATAATGGATTTGCTAGCAATAGTTTGACAAGGTTCCAGCACACACAAATAGGAAAGCCAGGAGGATATGATGCAAGGGGAAAGTGAATAAAAAGTTTATTATATGTTCTAAATCAGCCTTTTGAAAGTGGCACCTCAGAGGCTGGGTATAGCACGTAGCACGTCCCAAATGGCCCAGCTAACAAAAGCAGATGGGGAAAGGACTCTGTGGCTGCAGAGTAGCCTCTGGGGCTGCAACGTGCCAGTGGAGGAGGGATGGGTGTTGATTTCACAGAGCTGATGGGCAGTAAGAGCACTGCTGTCCACAAAACCTCTGCACCCATAGCATGGGAGGGGAGTGCAGACATGCCTTTAGTAGCACTGGGACCAGTGCAGTTTTCCTGATGCCTGCTGCCCTGTTAGATGTCTTCTAAAAGGCAAAATAACAACTGCAGAACACAGTTTTTGGCTTCTGTTTATATGCACAGTACATATACTCCCATGGAGACCCTGTTTTCATCTCACAGTCGCTTATATAATTGGATCGGTCTTACTCATTGCAGTGCCTCACAGAGGGGTTGTTAATCCAGGGAGTTTGGAAGCTACTGTTAATCCAGGGAGTTCAGCATAAACCTGTTTTTAACCATTTTTTCATACAACCTTGGATTTTTTTAGAAACACATTTTGCAAATATGTTTAATCAAAGTAGAATGAGCCATATTTCATTTAATACATCACTACCATGTATGTGTTACTTATACAACATAATCAAAGCAAAGGAAATGAGAAGGATGTAGAAAAATTACATATGCAGACCTGAAACCAACTAAAGCAGACCTGATTTGGTCATTTTGATTTTTTTTTTCATTTTTTTTTCATTTTTTTCCTTTTTTTTTTTAAAGGGACTTAAATGATATAAAATAATTCAGTACTTAAAAACAATAGAAATATCTGTATGTCACATTTTGCATAGTGCAACTTTTGACCTCCATTCCACACACATCCTTTTCCTTCTCAGATAGCCCATTTGTGTTGCACAGCTTCAGCATGTCATACCTCTTTAAAGCAGTCTTATTGGTAGAATAAAGGCGTGTGTTTCAAAGGAACACAAAAATCAGTGCTTTTTAGCCATTTAGTAATAAATACTTAAATTTCAGTTGAAAATGAGGTCAGGATTGTATCTTAAGATACCGCTTTCTGTAATTGTTAAATAGTTTTCTGAGTTCTTCATATATTCTGGAGAAGTGTTGATGCGTGACTATAGGTTGAATTGACTTTGTGCTGAACGACACTAATAAAAGAACAGGACAGTACAAAGATAGTTAAAACATAATGATAATAAGAATTTCATATAATCATGCTTTAAAGTAGTTTTCTTTTACAATACCAGTTCACTTCATTTTATGAAGTGATAATATTATATACTCAAATAATTTTGAAAGTCTCTGTAGTTTTAGTGACTGCTAATAAGGTTTCATTACAGAATAGTATAAGGAGATATGTCTTAGTCTGCATTAGAAATCTTAATCATGTTTTCAGCTTTGCAAATCTTTGTAGAAAATGTTTAGTAATGTATGCAAGAAAGTTAGTAAAACTTGCACACAACTGTAATGATTCTGAACTGTACTGTTGGTTTTGGTTTTTTTTCAGCACTTGGAACAGCTGCGTGCAAACAGAAATAATTTAAATCCAGCACAGAAACTTATGCTGGAACAGCTGGAGAGTCAGTTTGTCTTGATGCAGCAACACCAGCAGGTGAGAACAAAAATATTTTCCTGTTCTAGAAAACTTTTATTGATGATGGTGTCTGTTATGCTTCTTGGATTCTTAAGAATTTTTGTTGTACAGAGCTCTCATGCCCTTTACTACATTACATTAAGTCATCATCTTTTTTTTTTTTTTTTTGTATAAAGTTTAATTGTGGCTTACTGGTTGAAACTTAATGGTTTTAGTTGTGTTTTATTATAGGGCTACCAGAGAATGTAAAACTTTTCAAGCCACACTTTCAAACTAAAGTGAGTGGATACATCTAAAAGCAGTCTGAGTTGAAAAATACTTACTTGTAGTAAGCCATATTACAGCATATCTCTCCTGCTCTCATTGTTCACTTCTTTCTCTCTTAGTGTCCAACTTTAGCAGTAAAATGCTAACGCTCAAACTGAAGAGCCTAGAAGAAAAGTGTGCCGATAGCTTTACCTTAAAATTCATTCAGCGCATTTGTGAGCATGAGTCATCTTACTTCTCAAAAGCAACTGGGAGGATGTCAAAATCAATATAAAGCTGAAGCCATATGCAATAAAATACACAAGCCTTGTATGATCCTTACTTCTTAAATTCTGTGACTAATGTTCTTGTGCTTTGTTCATCTTCCATTAGATGAGACAAACAGGAGTTGCACAGGTACGATCTACTGGAATTCCTAACGGGCCAACAGCTGATTCATCACTGCCTACAAACTCTGTCTCTGGTCAGCAGCCGCAGGTTGCTCTAACCAGAGTGCCTAATGTCGCTCAGCGTGGAATCCGTCCGGCCTGCCCCGGGCAGCCTATGGCTAATGGACCCTTTCCAGCAGGCCCCATTCCCTGCAGCACAGCAAGAACGCTGGGTAGTACAGACACTATTTTGATAGGCAATAATCACATAACAGAAAGTGGAAGTAATGGAAACGTGCCTTACCTGCAGCGAAACGCACTCTCTCTACCTCATAACCGCACAAACCTGACCAGCAGCGCAGAGGAGCCGTGGAAAAACCAACTATCTAACTCCACTCAGGTATGCAATCCCAGTTTGCTAGTACAGCATGCTAGGAAGGCTTAATAAGCAAGTTGTCATTTGAAGTCTGTCATTTGTCAAACATACAGTGGGTTAAACCTACCTGTTGCATTTTGTCACGTGAAATATATGCATTAAATCAACTACTCTCAAGATAAAGAAAATGATCATAAACCAAAGAGTGCAGTTGCATACTGCTCAACTTCTTACCCTTCCAGAAGAATTTCTTTACCAAGAAGTATTTGTACGTCTTACTGTTGCTTCTTTAGTGTAAAAC